AAAAAACACCTGAAGGACTCCAAGATGGTGAGAAACAAGATTCTCTGGTCTGATGAGACCAAGATAGAACTTTTTGGCCTTAATTCAATCAATTCATTAATGCAATCGAGGGAAGGATGAATGCGGCCAAGTACAGGGATATCCTGGACGAAAACCTTCTCCAGAGTGCTCGGGACCTCAGACTGGGCCGAAGGTTCACCTTCCAACAAGACAATGACCCTAAGCACACAGCTAAAATAACGAAGGAGTGGCTTTACAACAACTCTGTGACTGTTCTTGAATGGCCCAGCCAGAGCCCTGACTTAAACCCAATTGAGCATCTCTGGAGAGACCTGAAAATGGCTGTCCACCAACGTTTACCATCCAACCTGACAGCACTGGAGAGGATCTGCAAGGAGGAATGGCAGAGGATCCCCAAATGCAGGTGTGAAAACTTGTTGCATCATTCCCAAAAAGACTCATGGCTGTATTAGCTCAACAGGGTGCTTCTACTAAATACTGAGCAAAGGGGCTGAATACTTATGACCATGTGATATTTCAGTTTTTCTTTTTTAATAAATCTGCAAAAATGTCAAAAATTCTGTGTTTTTCTGTCAATATGGGGTGCTGTGTGTACATTAATGAGGAAAAAAATGAACTTAAATGATTTTAGCATATGGCTGCAATATAACAAAGAGTGAAACATTTAAGGGGGTCTGAATACTTTCCTTACCCACTGTATATATGTACGCGCGCGTGTGATTTGTGCATGAAGCCGCAGACCATTTTTTGTCCTTGCACTCTTAAGCCTACACGATTCTGGTATCTGATAGATGTTATTGAGGGTTTAATGAGCCAAATTCCCCGACACACTAAGTGACTGTTAAAGTTGTTCACAACCAGTCTGGGGTGTCGTTAGCAAATGTATCTTATTTGGCTGCTTATTTAGGCTATTTGGCTACCTAATTAATAAAAAAAAATCCCCAACCAACCTTTACTACAGAACCATGGCCCTAGTACAGCCAAAATATCTGGACACAGTGTAAATAAATAAGTAATTGAGGCAGATCCATTTGTTGGGTATTGTGACACCACTTCAGGGGAGTCGGTTCAATAAAGTTAATGGGAATAAAACGGACCAGTAATATTATGTAGCTATTAAGTTATTAGCCAGTAACAGTAGAGTTTAGCTGTGTAGACCTTAATTCGTGAATGCAAGTCTTTCACTTGTAACAGTAATGTTACAGTGTGTAGGCACAAAAGGAACTGAACCTTTCTGCGCTCTTTATAACCCTAAAGTTTCTAAATTGGTACATGCGTCAGATAATTTGCGACCAGGAATCCCATATTAGGTTCACCCTCTCTACCCATCACCAGAATGAGCTGTACCTGGCTGACTGAGCCTGAAGATCACCTGTACTGCAGCCTTGAGTAAGGCGGAGATTTGCCTCGTGGGCCGCGTGCAACGAGCAAAAAAGGATGTCAAATGAGACGAAGCACAGCAGGAAGTTGAGCAATTATTACTTCAAAATAACAAAGGGAACCTTAGTCATGAAACAAAACGAGTGCAGCAGCAGCTTATGTTATTTGCGAGGCTGGATCATTTCCTAAGGCAGGCGACCATCTCAAAGCCCAGGGTGCATCAGCTGGGTTTTGGTAGTTTGCCGAGGTGTCCTATAGGCTGTATTAGAATTAACTTTACTAAGTTAGTTTGGCATAGCAATCCTAACCCAAGTTGCAGTTCCAAGCTTTTTCGACCATTATTATTTTCATCAGTTTGTTAGTAGTGCATAAAGAGGTGTTGAAACATGAGCCAAGTTGTTGTTATTTCATATTTATTCTGCATCTCAGCTGACTGAGGAAGACCATGTGATATAGTCGAAAGTGCAAGAGGAAGTTAGTATGTGGATCTTGATTTATGATTGTTTTGTCAAAGTAATTCTAAGGTCAAGATTGATTTTTCTTGCACACTTAAATAATTTAGTTTACCTTGGGTTTAGACAGTGTAAGGCTATTCCTAAATCAGTGTGAGGATAGTAGGGGCCTGGTGGCCAAGTTTTCCCCAAAGGTGTTTTGGGTAAAATTATATTACATTTTAATTGTTTATTATTTCACCAGGATGATCAAACTCATCCAAAACAGCACGTGCATGCTTATGCATGTTTATGTTTATGTCAAATAAAGCAGGTGCCCAGACTGTTTTTGTTAAAGGCTAATCCTCTTTTATTTCTGCCAAGCTGTTTCAAGTTTAACAGTCTTTTATTTTGAAGTAAAATTACCGAGGGTAAGACTTCCTGTTTTGGCTACTTGACAGTACGTGCTTTCCTTGCCATAAACATGGACCTAAGTGAATTACTCCATACCCTCGTTTGCTTACATCCTGAGATGTAGCGTTAACATCTGGAACCAGGGAAGAGGCACCCTGCCTTAAATCGATCCCCGGAAACAATCTGTCCGAAGGTTTGTTTTTCTAGAGTAAACAAAGACCTTTCCAGCGAAGAAGTGCTTCTTTTGTTTCAGCCGGCCGTGTTGTTTTGTCAACATGGACATGTACGGATACAGCGGGGTCTTCTTGGCGAAAAGATTCTTGGACACTGCCCCTTATGAAGTGACTAACATGTCCGACATCAGCAAGGCGAGTCCTCACGGCTGTGACAACGGAGCACTGACGGACAGGTTCGGCGTCTTGATCCAGGGGCTCCTGGGCATCGTCGCCTTCAGTACGCTCATGTGTGAGTTCTTGTTTGTGAAGCATCTACAGCGACACCGCATTTTGGATGTATTCACGCAGAGGATGCCGGAAACACAAATGCAGAAATTGCTTTCTAAAGGCCACGTGGAGTTTTGTTGACGTTTGTTTTTGCATTGCCTCATTAGCTCGGCACCAGATTCCACTGGAAAATATGATGGTTTAATATGGCGTTGTTTTTCGACAAAGAAACGTACCAGCTAGAACACTTTTTAAAACATTACCCGACTATAACGACCCCGCTGTTCATTTCGGCATATACTGTTAACACATTAGAAAGGGAGTTCAGCTTTTATTGACTGTCATCGCCACAGACATCGTCCACGTACACAAAATGAATGAGCGGCAGCGACACACAGGAACTATAGCTTTTACGTACATATTTTAATAAGACTACATGGATTTGTAGCACATCTATACACCGAATGTACAGTAAGACTCGAACTGACCACATGTAAATGGAAATACCATAGTACACAGGTATGTGTGCAGATAAGCAAAGCAGCATCACAAATTGCGGTATTTTTAAAGGAATGTCGTCAGCGTCTCTCTCTATGGAGGAATGCCAGGTTTTGGATCCAGGCCTCTGTTCCCTGTCCGTTTCCAACCAAAACCATATGTGGGTTTAGTGATAATATCCTGATATTAATACGCTTCTGTGAGAAACTGTTATGGGTGATTTAAAAAAAACTTGACCTTAACAGTTATTGCGTTTGTTTTAGTGTATTCATGGTAGTGTGAGTTTTAATTGAGATATCAATTAAGTTACTTTCAGTGCAAAACGAGATGCTCCTTGTGAAACAGGATTTATTCTTCTTGATCAATGGCTATTGACTGCTGGAAAACCTGAGTCTGTGGCAGCTGACTTGGAGAATGTTGCACATCTCAGCAGCTTTGGCACTGCGGCCTTTCTCTAATGCTTCCGCAGTGGTTGCAAGAGCACAAAAAACAGCACCCAGCTTGTCTTTTACTGAAGGCAGTTTATGATTATATATCTTACACGATGATATCAACATTATTCTGGTGTTAGTTGATTTAAAATATGCAAAATACTGCACATATAAGCTAAGTGGAAACACTAACTCTGCCAAGACTGAGCCAAACTGTGACATGTAAGTGACATAAATGCAGGTGACCCCTTTGTAGTATTTCATTGAGTGTGTTGGCATATGATCTGATTATCAGTGCTTAATCAAAGGTCAGTGCAGTCATCAGCTAATCAAAAGGATGAGCTCGGAGCAGTGAAGTGTTGCAGAATGAGGCCGGGCCTTCAGGGTGAGTGAGATCAATGAGCCCAGCCGGCACTAAGTTACTTATTAGCAGAGAAGTCAATGCCCCTCCGCTCCCAGTTTTCCCTCTTTTCTCAGCATGCATTCAAGTTTTGTTCTTGACTAAAGCACATGCATCTGTTGATGTTTACAGTGCATTATTAATGTGCTGCAAAGCATTAGTCGCCCTTCAGCTGCGATCGCTGTGCCGGGATGCCAAGTCACAGCCGAGCCTGCAGCATGCGTTCCTCTGCTGAGCTGTGTCAGAGTGCTCTTCCTCAAAGCTATTTTTGAGAGGTTCTCTGCACTGACTCATCATCATGTTTGGACTCCCATAATCCAGATAGAGGCTGGATCTTTGTCACAGTGACCACAGTTCTCTAATGCAAAGCTTTGGATTTAAAAATGGTCAAATTTACACATTTTGGTGAAACGTTCAACAGACCTTCAGATTAAATGTTGAGAAACTTGCTCAGATGTTGAATTTGTCTTCCTAGTTTATTACAGTGTCATTCTAAAATTTAGAAAACTCTATAGAGTTGTACGTGATCTAGGCTTCATTACTGATCGTTCTGCTGATTCTTGTTACCACTAATAGATACATTTTTTTAGCCTAATAGTTTCAGAAAACACTCCAATGTGACAGTTTCCCAGACCTTAAGGGGATGTCTGCTGATCAGTTATTTTGTCAGAGCAGCAGTGCAAAGACCAATATTCAGTTTACAATTATAAAACCAGCAAATCTTCACGTTATTAGAAACTGGAATGAGCAAACATTTAGAAATAACTTACAATATTAATTGATGATCAAAATTACTGATGAATAATCAACTAACTGATTTAAATTGGCCAAAATGTGCAGGGACAAGTCTGAAAACACATGAATAATAATACCATACTGTTTCACTCATTGCCTTTATTCAACTTAAACTGCACCAAGAACAGCTGATAAGTGAAAATCCTGAAAACAGAACAGGGTTACGGATTTAAAACGTGTCTGTAGGAGGCATCTGATCTGCTTCACATGCCAAGTCACATCATGTGACCTTGAGGAATGATGAGATAGAAGAACGGCAGGCATCTGTTTGTCCTGAACCCAGTGGGGAGGAGTGAAGTGTTGTGATGGTGCAAAAGAGAGCCTGTCACATGTTATTGTTTTGCAGGGTAAACACGGGTTTGGCAAAATTATTGATTAATTGATTTCCTTGTTTTGTGTGCAGTGAAGCGGTTCCGGGAGCCTGCAGGGATCAGACGGCCCTGGAGGATCTGGTCAGAAAATTCACTTCAGAAAATTCAAAACAGATACTTTCACACTGACCTATAGAGTCATAAGAAATGATCAAAATCTTTACAAATATTAAGATTATCTTTTGTTTAAAATATTTTCCAGGTTTTTTGACACATCCAAGCAGGCCATCGGCGCTCTCTTCATCCACTTCGCCAATGTCTTCCTGTCCACACTCACCAAAGAGGACCCATGCTCCCTGTGAGTTAGTTATGACCACAGACATGTCCTGATTAGATGTGGCCATCAGGAATGACCCCTCAGTAAGGAAATGTCCTGATTTACTGCAGGTATCTGATGAACTTCCTGCTGGATGCTACACTGGGGATGCTGGTCATCTGGTTGGCTGTCAAGTTGGTGTCCAAGCTGGTGGAGTACAAGCAGTGGACATTGCTCATGTTTGGAGAATATGGTGAGTGAGTTTTGCTGTGTCTAAAAAACAGAAGATACCTGGGATTTGAAGGAGGGCATATACACCTGACAATAAGATGCAGCTGTGGGCTTCACCACTGGGGGGCAGTGTAGGTCAGCTGGCAGCAGACAGGAGGGAGAGGCAGCATCTCCAGCTGCAGCCTGGAAAGCATTCCCAGTCTCTTCACAGAGGGATTAACTCCAGGCCAGTTATTACACTCACTCACTCTGCTGTTTTTTCCTTTGCATTTCTTATCACTAATGAAAATTTTCAACTTCTAAGACTTTGTAGAGATGTCAAGAGGGTCAGGTTTGCTGGCTCTGTTTGAATGGAACGCTGACTTTCAGATAGTCGTGTTACAGAAATGTTTAATATTTATTCATTGGTTGTATAAGATGAGCTCATTTAGACCTGGAACATCCGGTGATTTGTGTCTGGTTCACTGTCTCACCCTGTGTCTGTCTTCTCCCCCTTCCTGTCTTAATGACAGACTTGACCTCCTTTGTGTCTGCTGTGGTGAGACACCTGCGTAGGAGACTGTTAGGAGAGGTGTCGACCACTGGAGGAAAGACTTTTGATATGTCCTGCTCGAACTGAGAAATAGTGTCTGACAAAAGTACTGGTGAAATGTTGCTTGTTTAAAACTGGGGAGAAGCTAAAGAATTAATGTGTTTAAACGAGAACAGGTTAAACTGACCTTGATTTAGTCACCTTTCATGTAAAAAAAGTTCCAGTTACAAACATAAAGAATCTAAGAAGTCTAAAGTAAAATGAACAAATCCAGAAGGCCATGAAAAACCAATTGAAGACAAATTATTGTTCTTCTCCCGTGGACTGATGATTCACTGCATGTGGATTCATAAGTGCCAGTTTTAATGTAAAACCTGTAGTACTGTAACACTTTACTAAATAATTTAAATAGGTTGCTGGTTAAAAAAGAGTGACAAACTATCAGCAGAGATAACAAAAACACGTCCACTTCCTGCCTTTGGTGTAGCCAGCACGTTAATACTGTCTGAGCTAGAAGTCGCCTTTAATCACACGCTTATGGTTTTTCCTGCAGGTGACCCTCCTCAGGCTGCAGCCTGGCTGGGTCAGTGCACTGTCTACCTGCTGATCATGGTGCTGGAGAAGGGTGCAATCAGCCTGGTGCTGCTCGTCCCCGGATGGTCCAAAGTAAGGCCATTGTAGACATGGTTGTGCTGCTTTCAGGTCCTTTGGGAAAGATGCCATGCTGTGATGTTGTCATACCGCTGGCATGGGGAACAAATGTCATGGTTTGACCTGCCAAAAAGACGGGAGGAACAGACCGTTTTTGAGCATCAGCTGGGCTTGTGACTGGACCTAATATGGCACGACTGGTTTGTGTTGAATTCTATTCACAGCCCAAGTTTTCAGTTCTTTTTATTGCAACGAACAGGCTAGTCCTTATATCCAAAACTGAGCTTGTTGTCAACAAGACTACATGGAAAAATGTGCACTACTGTTTCCCTTTTGGCCCGGTGGGGTTTGTCATTTGATCTCATCTAAGTTATCACAAATAAACAAGCAGAAGATAAAAAATGTCTTGTGGTTTGAAAACATCAAAGCAGATCTAATGTTTCATTTCCATGATACTGGGGATCATTTTTGTTTGTTTGAATTAGCCCGTGTCATAGCAACAGATGCTCTTCAACAGAACAACAAGGACAGTTTGTTTGTTTACTTCCAGATAGAAATGAGTTTGGTTTAGTGCAGCTTTCGGTGCTGTTTGGAGACCTCGCTTACTTGGTTTAATGGTGAGACTCGGATCATAAAGATCAGTAATTGCACCTTGTCCCCCAGTTTGTGTTTTCATATTTACACCTGTTGTCCTACTTCCTTCTCACATTTAATGTAGTATATTACATTTGTTGTTGTGAAGAACACTGTTGTATGATGTAATGAAATGATAGGAATTTCTTCAAGCAGCTATTTGAAAAGATCAAATGGTACAAGATCAGCTCTCTCCACACAGTCAGGAAATACAGGTGGTATTTTTGTAATTGAAGTTATGTAGAAAGGAATTAATGGCTGAGAACATAGTCATAAGATTTCTAAAGATCATTCTGTACATGTAATTCTAGATTAATTAGAGCAGATTCCCAGTTTATTTTGCCAGTTTCTGAGTTTTATTCCATTCTTCAGTTTGGTTAGTTCGGTTACCTGTCACATGACAGCAGCCTAAATTCTTAATGTCTGTAATAAACTGTTCTTCTGTTCTAGTTGCAGGAGGTGCTGCTGAGCTACATTGCTAATCCTCAGCTAGAGCTGGTGCTGGTCATGCTCATCGTGCCCTTCTTAGTTAATGTGAGCTTCAGCCTCCTTATCCTAGTTATCATGTCTTATTTTTAAAAAGAGCTTAGTCTTAGCTCTGCAGAATCATTAACCCCAGTCTTGTGTGTCTGTATCTGGCGCCCGCCATAGTCCATCATGTTCTGGGTGGTGGACAGCCTGATGATGAGGAAGTACAAGACAATGAAGAGCCTGGAGGACTCGTGTGACAGCTCGGTGAAGAAGGCCGACTCGCTGCCTTGGCTGAATGATGAGGAGTCACGGGTGAGGATCACTGATCAGCAGCACAGGGCTGGTTAGCAGCTGGTTAATGTTTTCTGAGTCACTAATGAAGCCAGCTGCTCAGTTCCAGGATTTGTCTCTTCAGCTTCAGTAGATCTATAATTGGAAACTGATATTAAGAGAAAAACGGAGGATGATAATGTGGCTCTGGTCAAAACTACCTTTGAGTGAAAGCCTCAGTAGAACCATGAGCTCTTTTTTGTTCCAATTGTTTAGTCCAGGTAGCATTAAAAGTTTTAATAAACCCATCAAAATAAGTGAAATATTTGATTAACACATCCCTTAGAGAAATCTCACTGACCAATCGGCTCTGAGTTACACATCCCCTCTGGTGACACTCTTGTTCCCATGTGTTATAAAGTTGTGTTCACAACCTAGTGTCTCGTTTCCGAGTCTTAGTAAGTCATGGCCACACATCAGAGGGCCTCCTTAGGATTGGCTGATAAATTAGATCCCTGTACGATCTCGGTCATGTCACAATGATTCTGTTGCGTTTGCATTAGCAGGTAGATGCCTCGCATCAAACCAAGTGCTCCCTTGTCCTTGCTAACCAATAGCAGAAGTCTGTTACATCATGTGACAAGCTATAGACGGGAAGAGAAGACTGATTCAAAACCAAATCCAACATGTTTGACATTATGAAAGATATTCTGTGCCGTCCTGAAATTATTTTTCAAACGTTGCGCTGCCTGCCCTATAGCAGTTGAGGCAGAAATAAATCACTTTGGAGTTATTAGTTGCTGCCTCACTATAATGGGCCCTTTTTCATGTTATGAAAACGTTCACTGTTCCCATGGTGGGTTGCCCAAATGGATTCAAACAAGAATGTGATGGTGCTTTCTGATGAAGAAGCGGGACTTTAATGTGTGTGAAAATGGGTGATGCACGGTCACACTCTGTGTCAGCCGCACCTGTTGTTTTGGTAGATGAACACAGTGTACGCACCCACACACACATTTTCTATGTGTACACTCGATCTAATGAGGAACAATCCCAAATGAGTTCAGTCCAAGAAACACTGAGTCAGGATGTCCTCCCTCATTACTGGTCATTTGGGTTTTTTTCTATTGACTTGGGTCAACTGACCCTTTAAATGTGTCAGTAATACTTGAGAGGAATTGCATCAGGTTACAAACACCAACAAACCAGATTTTAACAATAAAGTTCGTTTGATTTCATGCCCTTGATTGTAGTTGTCATCCAGTAAAACTGTGGTTATGACGAACCTTTGAGGACCATTTCACTTCAGATTTAAAAGGCTCAATTCACCCGAATAAAAGAGGACTTGGTTCTGAGATGTCTGTCTCCATCCCAGTGCAGTAGAGGCGCAGCCAAACTCATCTGTCTGCTCAGAGTAAAGCTTTTTATGGGTTCACATGGTTGAGGACTGCAAGACTATGCTGAGTCTAACTGCTGCCAGGTATGGTCATATTCCTGTAGGACTCTAGTCTGTCAAATGATCATTTGGTGCATCACATGATCAGACAAGAGTAGTGAGTGGAAGTGAGATGGAGAGGGCAAGCTGTTTGTTAACTGCTGGCCCATTGTGGTGCTGCCAGTGTTGGTGCTCCTTCTCTGTCAGGGCCGCCTCCTCCACACAACACAGACACCCGTGTCATTTCTTGTGTCCTCTCTCAGGAAAGGTTGAACTCACAGGCTAAATGTTGTTTGCGTGACACTTATGAGTCAATCCCTTCTCTTTCCCTTTCACTTGGTCACGTGCCAGGCAGACATAAATCAAGCCTTCATTGTGGGAATAAAAGTGACATTTAGGAGTCGTTTCCACTTGCTGATGTTATGGAAAGCAGCGTGGAGAGGAGCAGGACGACAGATAGAGGGGCTTTGACTTGGATGAGCTCTTGGTGGGGGTGGCGGTCGCGGTGACAATGCTGTTGTTGTGGCTGGTGTTACTGCGTATCGCATCAGGGTAACGGGGGAGGGGATAAGTTTCTTGTTAGACATCAAAATCATCCAGGACGCCTCGACTCCAAAGGACTGATGTCAAACGTTTATTGGACATCCCTCTGGCTCATTTTGCTCTTTGTTTTTGACCCAATAATTTTGACTGAGAAAAGTTTTGTATTAAGTCCATTTACTCAAATAAGAGGAAGTAATCCATGCTCCTTGGTGGGCGGCCTTCTGCCTCGACCGGTTGGGGTGAGTGGATAGAGGAGAGACAAAAGAAGAAAAGAAACAAGACAACAATCAATCAAACACTGGTCAGGTTGATGTGGCTGGTGACTGCTCATCAGAGACGTAGAGCTCTAGGGCCAGGGCAACCTGTAGAAAACTACAGGGAGAGAGAGAGGACACACTACGGGAGAGAGGAGACACAAAGTTAGTGATGTGTAATGGTGGCATATAAAAGCATAGGGGGAGAGGAGAGGAGAGGAGAGGAGAGGAGAGGAGAGAAACTCAGAGCATCATGGGGCCCCCCAGCAGCCTAGGCCTATGGCAGCATAACTAAGGGAAGGCTCAGGGTCACCTGATCCAGCCTTAACTATAATCTTTATCAAAAAGGAAAGTCTTAAGTCTAATCTTAAAGGTAGAGAGGGTGTCCGCCTCCTGAACTGAAGGTGAGAGCTATGTCATCTAAAGTAACTATATGATTAGACAGCAGATTTCTAAGGTTTCCAGGCCCAAGCACAATAACTTCAGTTTTGTCAGAGTTTAGAAGTAAGA